GACATGCAGCTATTGGCACTGTAAGGTCTAATAGGCTTAAAAATTGCATAATGCCTTCAGATAAGGACTTGGCAAGAAATGGAAGGGGCTCCGCAATTCTGAAAACCTGCCACCATGACGGTGTTGATCTGTTTCCAGTCAAATGGGTTGACAATAGAGCGGTAACCACACTCAGTACATTTGCTGCTATTGAGCCCATGAAACGGGTCAAAAGATGGGACAAAAGGCTAAAAGGGAAATCTAGGTAACTTGTCCATCGGTAATCATGGTTTACAATAAATTCATGGGTGGTGTGGATCTTCTCGCTTCACTGTTGGCCGTATACAGGATACCAGTAAGGTCCAAAAAATAGTATCACTGTATAATATTCCACTTTCTGGATACCAGTATGGCAGTTGTGCTGGCATGGCTGATCTATAGGCTGATTGTACTAATGCGAATCGCGACAAAAAATATCCTCGGTGTACTTGATTTCAACACCAAGATGGCCATATGCCTAATGAAAGAAGGTAAAGCAGGGTTTAGGAAACTTGGCAGTCCTTTATTGGATATAGAGCCTCAACTTACAGCTAAAAATTTGAGTGGTCCTATTGCAGCTTTTCCACCCTTACCAGTAAGAGCTGATTATATTTGGCACTTTCCTGAGCCACTTGAAAACAAAGGAAGATGCAAGAGACCAGGTTGAAAAGAATTTTCAAGAATAAAATGTGCATAATGTAAAGTTGACATTGCTTCAAACAGTTCCACCAGCATTAAACCTGCATTTCACATATGTATATAAATATTTACTGTCCCTCTATATGCTCTATATATTGATTACATGATTTTCTATATTTTTGTGTAAAAAATGCTTATAAAATATGATTTTTATAATGATCTTTTTCATGATATAAAAGCATAATATGAAGATATGCTTGTAAACTAAGTACTGAGAACCATTGTTTGTGTAAACGATTAAATATTCACCTTTTACAAATATTATTGTTATCGTTTCCTTTTCTTGTTCAGTTTTACTTTTCTGACCTTTAAGACGCACTGTTGCCATATGGCAACATACCAATAAAATCATTATTTCATTTTAAAAAATTATTTTTCTTGCATATTATGTTTATTTAAGTCCAATAACTATGAAGTATGCCATCAAAAAATTTTTTTCCATAAAAAACTAAAATTGCGTAATAGAGGGTTAAGTCACATTTTTTTGAAAATCAAACGAAACGTTGACCTTTACTTATACGGTTTAGCCCCATATATAGCATAAATTTGGAGACGTTAAAATGTACCTAAGTCCCCTTTTTATACAACCCAAAAATAAGAATGATCAAATTTAATGGACAAAAAGTACTGAAGTCCTATGTTTCGGTGCTAAAAGTTCTTATCTCCCCTTGGCCAATCACTTAGCTGCATTTAGTTGTCTGAAACCTCGAACAAAATGGCGGACGAGGCGAGCTCTGACCAAACTGAATATGAATCCAAAGCGAAAAAGAGAAGACTAACACCATCAAAATGGAAAAGAAATGTAATTAAGCTGGCTAAAGTCAGAGGTAAGAATATATTTATATTATTAAAATCAATTTACTGTTGTGGGGATATTAAAATTACACTATCGCAAACTGGGTCACGATGACCCGGCCCCGATCGATAACTATTAACTCTTACTATTATTAGACTTAGACCTTAGTCTTACCCAGGCCCAGGTATTTTTAGCTGATACTGAAACATTGTCAGCATTTTTAAATATAATAGAACTATATAACTCCCACAACTCTATGTCATATTTTTATATTAATATTCTAGTCTATAGAATTTAGTACTTAAGATTACACAAGTATCAACTAGTAGTAGTAGTAGCAGCAGTTAGCAGCAGTGGCACTGCATGGCATTACATGACTGTTCACTCATTACTGTCCTGCTTTTAGTAG